TTGAGTTGAATGACCCTTGCTGGAAGGAAAATTCAGGTTTTCCAGCCAGCACATTCAGAATGCAGGAGGTCTGAATTTGGAGAAGCTCTTGCCCTTTTAAGGGTGGAAACCCAGTACTTTAGCATGTCTGTAGAGGAGCCAAAGGCCGTGTGAGAACATTTTGGAGTCGACTTTAAAAAGAGATAGTTTGGTAAAAGTACCTATTTAAAAGCCATTAGAAGCTCTCCTTTTCCAGAACGGAGGCCATTTTTTTTAAATGGCCTGTCACTTGGTCAACTTTCTCTCTCTTTCTCTTCATCCACTTTTTTTTCTTCAGGTTTATAGTTCTGTCCCCACTGAAAGCCCAAACAGTGTCTGTTGCTAATGTAACAGATGCATAGTGTCAAATCTGTTATGCTGGGTCAGATGGTTTCCTTGGTATTGCTCCTGAACCTGAGGGCATCATGGAAGAATTAAGGTGAATTTACTTTGTTCCCCCCTCCTGCCATTTTATGTGATGCAGATGTAGGTCAGGTGAAGTGGAAGGGATGGGAAATTTGGGGGTCTCTTATTCCTTCTCACCCTGTCAGGGGTTCTTGTTGACTCTGCTTATCCTTCTCTCCAGAAAATGCCACAGGGAAAAATGAAAATTAATAGTGTGCTTCCTGCATTTGTGATTGTGGTTGTCTTATGCTCTCCGTTTTCTACTTAGTTCTTTTTTTTTTTTCCCTACGTCTCCACAAAGGAAGGCTTTCAGAGAGCTCCAGAAATGCACGTGTGATGCTTGTAACAGGATGCTGGCGCTACCTGTTAATTAGTCTTGTGTCCCTGCCAGTGAGTTCTGAGGCCAAGGAGCCGCTGCCTTAAATTGTTCAAGGTCAACATTGCACTGACAGTGGCTTTGCTGCGGATTATTTAATTTAGTTCTGGGTGGTAGCTGAGGGGGTGATAATGCTACAAAATGCATTATGTTGCAGGTTGGGTGTGGCTTGTGGCTGTTCTCGTCTTCCTCCTTGTGTGGCAAAGTAAAATGATATAGTTGGACACAGAAGTTGTCTTGAGGCTTGGGTTTGCAGAGTCGTTTTGTTTTTTTTTTATTTTTTATTTTTAAGGAAGTTGGGGAGAAAAGAATGTCCAAGGGCCAGAGTGATAATGATATTGAAGTATCAAAAGATGCAGAAAATGAAGCTGTTTGGCATCTATATGGAGCCTTATGCACCTTAAGTACCTGTACAGATTTGTCTCCCATTTAATTGAATTTGTTGTTAGTGCAAGTCCATTGAGGTCAACCTTTTGGTTGCCTGAATTAACAGCAGAGCTTTTTTGTAGCACTCTGTACTTGCCATGAGGAGGCAGTGACAGACATCTCCTTAGCGACCTGTGGGTGCATTGTGTATGTTTGGGCTGGTTGAAATATTCCTGTTAGAATAGTGGTTCGTCGTCTCGATGATTAACAGAATCCAGTTGGTCTGAGGTAGGTATTTTCAGCTTCCAATGCTTTTAAGAGCGGAAGACTCTCACAGCAGCTCCAAGTGAGCAAGTGAAGCAACAAGTTATTTCAGAATTGTCATTTTTGAAAATTAAGTTGTTGTTTTGCTATAAGCCCATTGCTATTGTATATACATTATTATTTTTCTGTAAGGCAGCTACACGTCTTCCGTAAGCATGCTGTCAACGTGCCAAACAAATGCCGTTCTCAGCTTGTTCTCTCTCTCATTCTCCCCTGAGAGAGGGTGCTGGGTTTTGTGGTAAGGTGTTTTGTTATGATAGAAGTAAAAAAGTGTGCACCCTGTGCCAGTTTCTCCAGGCAAAGGCAAGAATGACGTGCACCTCGCCCTTGAAGCGAGAAGTGGTTCGTGAAGTCTGTGGGAGGTGTTGTGCTGGGGGGGGGGTGTCTCCTCAGTCTTGTGCCTCCCTCAGCCAAGCCTCCTGCATTGCAGCAGCTGCGCTGCCCCGGTGGGACAGAGCTGCAGGCTTTAGGTGACCTTCCAAGCAGCCTAGATGGAGGCAGTTTGAAGGTAAAGGTAATGATCCTAAAAGAGTGAGCGCTTATGCTGACGTGCTTGGGGCACATCGAATGTTACGGAGCTTTTTTTGTTAAGGCCTTTCTGTGTTAACTCTGTTAGAGTAACCTCCATGTTTGATACCCCAAGGTCAATGGTTTCTCTTGAAGTCAGCTTTGGAAGTATATTGGTAGTTTGCAAATCTGTATTTTCTTATTTCTTTATTGAATGCCCTCAGAAAAAACGTTTTCCAAAGCAAGTATTCTATATATATATTTATATATATATATTTTTTTAATCCTGTCCTTTGACTTTCCACTTCCCTTCCATCCTCCAGGACTGACAGTAGCTCCCTCGTGCTTCACAGTTATCAATTCTATCCTGGTAAGCTTGGGGTGAGATTTAATGAGCCAAGTTGAGAAAAAACATCTTATTCTTCCTCCTTTCCTATTCTGTTGCAGATTTTGACTTGAACTACTTTTGGCATTGGAGCAAGTTTACAGACTACGTGCAGTGTGTCCTGACCTTCACTGGTGTGACCGGTTACATCACTTACCTCTGGCTTGACTCATCTCTCTTTGTTGAAACGCTGGGCTTCCTTGCGGTGTTCACCGAGGCCATGTTAGGTGTTCCTCAGCTCTACCGCAACTACCAGAATAGGTCTACAGAAGGAATGAGGTATAGTGTTTGTCTTAAATGAACCGAGGTTGTATGGAGGGGTAAATCTTCATGTAGCATGGGAAGACTTTTCTAGGCAGGGCAATGTCGTCTTTCTAAGTTTTACCACAAGATAGAGTGGCTGTCCAAGTAGATCTTTGGCCTGTACTAGTTGGCTGTAGCACTACTGAAGGCAATGAGACCTCAGTTTCACCACTGAGATCAACCAATTGTCTGAGTCCAATTACAAATGGAAACTCATTTCAGTAAAATAAACTTCTAAAACTACTGCTGTTGGCTCCGGATTATTTGCTAATTACTGATCTGCCCTCGGTCCCTGATGTCAGCCCAGACACTGACAGATGGCTCACTCCAGTGCTCTCTGAACTGGGCACGCTGTCCTCTGAATTTTGACAGAGCCACAGCACACACACCAGCCAAGATCCTTATCTTCCGACCCATGTGCCCAAACCTCGTTCCTGTGGAAACAGAAAGGAGTGGAGGCAGAGGAGAAGCACCTATGGTGCATGCTTGAGTCTCATCCTCACCTGGAGTCCATGGCTGGGGAGCCTGGGACTGCAACGTATGCGCATGTCCCTCCGTTTAGATACCGAGCTGAAAGCACAGCATAATGATCTTTGTCAGATGTCTCTGAGAAAACTTTATTTCCCCTTGTTCCATGCAGTTATGCATAGACTAGAGCAATTGCCATGTAACTCTAACTTACCACCTGTATCTTACAGGTTTTGAAAGGCCTCTGAGTGTTTGTCTAAATGTTTTTCCTCTGTTTTTCTTCCTGTCTTAGAAGCATAGATATGTTAGTGGATTTTTGTTCTGCTTTTATTTTGTTTTGTTTGTAGTTATGCCTTGATCTTCTAGACCATCTCCTGATGTGTCTGATCAGACAGGCTCATTAGCTTGTAGTGTTAATGCCTACTGTGCGGTTGTTGGGACGGTGTTTGCAGGAAGCTTCTGTTCATACAGCAGCACAGGTGACTAGTCAACACACCAAGAACTCCTTTCTTACTGCTGTGTCTTGCTAATAGCACTTGCTCATTCATCTAGGGCTGAGTAAAACTGCTAATTTTAGAAATCTGTGTCCCGGTGGTAAAATTGTCTTACATTGATTTGCAGAATATTATACTATACAACATTAATATAAATACTGGAATTCAATCCAAGCTGTATTACCCTAGTAATTAGAAATGGAATGAAGATGGTACTAAAGAGAAAATATTTTAAGTCTGTGGCTAATAACTGTCAGTCTAACTCATATTAACTCACCACTTTTTTGTAATGCAGTATTGGTATATTTAACAAGTGACAGTAGTGTTTATTTTTGTGTACAGGCTTGTAACTGACAATTCAAAAAACCTTAAATGTAAGAAATTTACAGTCATGACTGGGAAACCCTCTGTAAACAAGTACATGGTAGGAAACTTTAATCTTGTGCTCACGGTTGGGGGTGTTCAACTAGATTACCTCGTCAATGCTATTCACTAGATATTTCAGTGATAAAACTAAGGTTGCCAAGTTGCGAAGGGAACTCTTGAAGCTTTTTAAGGGAGAAAGAATTCACTGTGTTGCCTCAGTTCATTAGTCTGTAGAACTGATGCAAATTCAGTGCTGTGATCATTGAGTTTAGCTGTTTTCTCTTTTGTTGTTTTGCCTTGATGTTAAACTTGCTGGAAAAATTTTTGCTCTGGACAAAACAAAACAAAGAAAACACCCTAAACTAAAACAATGATGTCCTGTGTCTGCTGGCATTATTCCCTTTGCTTTTTTGCCTTGGCGATACTGGCATTAGCTTCTGAAGTTCTCCAGCCTGAAATGTTTTTGTGGGAATGTTTAGAAATTTACTTTGCTCAAGGTATCTTCTGATGGGGAATCCCCTTGGCACAAGGTGGGTCAGGATTTGTCAATTTGATATGTCAATATATTTACATATTTTGCGTGCACATGCTGCCTTGGAAAGTTGTGTACTTGTGATACCCAAAAGAGAGTTTACCTGCTAGACTCTGCTTTTGATCTGGTTTAACTCTGGTTTAACTCTTCCCTTTGTTTTTTTTTTTTTTTTTTTGTCTGAGACTTAAAATGCCATAATGCAGTATTACGATAGCTGCTACCAGATAGTGTTTTGCCTTAACTACTGTCTTGGGATCTGAGTTTTAGTTTTTCAATTTCCTGTATATGCTATGTAGCAAAAGAGGAAGGAAGGAAAGAGAAGCTTTATGCTGCAAAACAGCAGTTTTCTCATGAAGCATTAAGTACACAGAGCTGCA